CATTAATCAAATATATAATATATTTCAAATGAATCATTAAAACAATATACATAAACTTTCCACACTTGGTCAACTGGGCCCGCGGGCCCACGACCTCCATTTTACGATCCGAAAGTTCCTATGGGTTCCACAAGGTCTAGGATACACGTCCTGCAAGTTTGGTCCAGATCGGATGGCCGGATCACTCACGATCGCACGATCGGACGGTTACTGAAATCCTAGCCCTAGGGTTGGCATTTCTGGAGTATTCGGGACTCCGTTTCACGATCCGTCGAATCTTACACGATCCTAAGGATGCCCAGGTTAACATATAATAAATTCAAGACCATCCAACGGTCCAAACCAATCGAACCCGGATAACGCGTAATAGGCGATATCCGTTCGAGACTCAAAACGGTATCCAAATTGAGGTCCGTAAAATCCTACGCGCTCGTGACGACAAGGGGATCACATTTTGGATAAAATTCCCCTTTGGGTGTCCAAAGCGATATCGCATCGCCGGAAAATCTTAGAATCTCGGGCCAAGACTCCTGCCCTAGGTAATACACCTAATTTGGAGTCGCTTTTGTTCTTGGACATACCCCAAAAAGTGACCGGAAGTGGCCGGAAATTCAACCCGAAGTCCGGCCAAACCTAAATTCGAAAATCAAACTACCTACGCTCAAAATTGATGCAATCCTACCCAACCAGCAGCTAGATCATGAAACGTAGTCGAAAATCCATACCTCATTCGTCCGATTTGGTGGAGAATTGAGGGAGAACGAGCGATTGGAAAATCTGTCAAAATTGAGGGAGAAGTGAGGGATTTTCTGATTTTTATTAAAATTAAACTTCGAAAATATTCCGATTGTGCCACTGGAGGTTTTTACCTCGTATCTCTCTCGTTAAAAGTCCGATTCAAACTCACCGCATGTCTACGGACTCGTCTCAGTACGACCTTCCTTAAAATACCACTTGTCATCCCAAAAACTTCTCGGATAAAAATAATCATTTTGCCCCTACTCGAGGGTAAAATTGGAAATTCACGTTTAATTCAATTAAATTAATTAACGGAAGGTTATATTTTGGGTCGGGATGTTACAGCTTTGCTTAAGGAAATGGATAATTTATGATTTCCAGTTTTCTAATAGCGTTTTATGCTTATTCGAATTTAATTTGAGAACGATTCTAAATGATTATTCATGAACGAAGTATTTATAGTTTTTACTTTCCAAGCATTTAGTTGAATTCTGTTTGTACCATATCTGATCCTCCACTCATCCATTGACACGTGGATCGCTTAAACTCCCCAAATGCCCAAAGGCTCCGAACAATCGGCATCGGCTACCGATGATATTGTCTCAAAGCAGCAAAAGATCGCTACAGGCCCAACACAACCTACAATCGGTATCCCTTACCGATTCTGCAGAATCAACCTCGAAGTACCCGCCCGAAATATCTAAGAACTCGTGTCAACCTCATAGGGCCCTCCCACGAGTCCCACATCGAAATTAAGTACTAAGAGCATACGAAATGCCCTCTATAAATAGGCCCCTCCACTACAATACAGGGGTAAGACTTTTCAGCTTAACTTTTATACTTTTATATGGTCAACAGTAAGAGCTCTTAGAAACGAACTTACTTTGGCATCGGAGGGTCTTAGGCTGGTTCCACACCGGTTCCATGGACCTCACGAGTCTCAACTCTCTTCTATTCAGGATCTGCATCTAAGGACAAGAAGAATCGGCATCTATCATTCAATCGATCTGCTAGATCGTCCTCACCACTTGTAAGTTGCACTCATCTCTATCTGTTCAATTTTAGTGCCAACAGATTGGCGCCGTCTGTGGGAACGTTTCCAATCCTCAGCGTTGTCAGTTGAAACGTTTCCAATCCTCAGCGACACTTCAACTTCCCGAACGTTGCACCCCTAGCCACCTTCAAGCACAACTCCATTAGCGAACGGCAGGCGCACATTGATGAGTTCTCACTCACCTCTCGTGCCGAACGGCAGGGGTTCCTAAACCTTGCCCTACACTATCCTCTCAGGCCATTCGGTACCGAATGCCATCTCTTTTCCAAGCTCACCCGCTCGGGCACTTGGGGGACTACATGCCACCATCGGCAACAATGGCAACAATGAGACCATCGAATCCGGATCAGAATGCCGAAGACAGATTCAAGTCCCCAACCGAGAAAGCTTCTCAATCGGTAACTTGGGGGACTACTGTTTGTACCATATCTGATCCTCCACTCATCCATTGACACGTGGATCGCTTAAACTCCCCAAATGCCCAAAGGCTCCGAACAATCGGCATCGGCTACCGATGATATTGTCTCAAAGCAGCAAAAGATCGCTACAGGCCCAACACAGCCTACAATCGGTATCCCTTACTGATTCTGCAGAATCAACCTCGAAGCACCCGCCCGAAATATCTAAGGACTCGTGTCAACCTCATAGGGCCCTCCCACGAGTCCCACATCGAAATTAAGTACTAAGAGCATACGAAATGCCCTCTATAAATAGGCCCCTCCACTACAATACAGGGGTAAGACTTTTCAGCTTGACTTTTATACTTTTATATGGTCAACAGTAAGAGCTCTTAGAAATGAACTTACTTTGGCATCGGAGGGTCTTAGGCTGGTTCCACACCGGTTCCATGGACCTCACGAGTCTCAACTCTCTTCTATTGTTTCTTTTTTTGGCATGGGTGTGGCACTTCATGCATTCTTTTCAATTCTTTTCTTCTTGGTTGCTCCATCCATTGCTTCTTTTTCTTTCTTTTATGCCTTGGTGTGGCACTAAATCTTCATCATTCATTTGGTCATTCCCAACTACAAATTGTTTAATGCCACCAAGTCATGTTTGTTAATTCCTCAACCTTAAGATAAAATAATGAAATCATCATCAATTATGTAATGAGTATGTAAGCAAGTGCAAAAGTGAAAAACAAACCTAATTAACTAAAATTGTAAGAAAATCAATTACTAACAAATATATTTAGGGATAATAAATGTGATAGTTTATGTGCTCATCAAGGTTGACCAAGTGGCTCTTGAGTCTTGCGAGGAATTCGGCTCGGGTCGACTTTGTGTTACCGAGGCCTGCGAGGATGTGTCACACCACGTGACACAAAGAATTGACGGTATCATGTGGGAACTAAAAAGAAAATCACGGGATTGACGGAATTATCATGGGTACACCTAGGTGGAAGGAAATTATTTCTTTTCAATGCTTAAAATTGATTTGATGATTTGATTGAAGGCATGATTTGTATATATATAGATATTTATAGATATGCATGTCTTCAATTCTTGTACAAATATAGGAAATGAATATAATCGAATTTCCAAATGGTTTTAACAATGGGGTTAGTATGTTAATATTCTATTTTCCAAAACTTTATTTTGTCCACTCACACTTTTAAATGTTTTGCGTCCCCAGGCAGTAGACGTGAACCAGAGCACCACAACCGAGCGATCATCATCACTTTTCATCCTTTTCCGCCTTGTAGGATATTCTGCTGCATTCTTTCTACCCTTGTGATTTAATAGATTAGTATTGCTCTGAAATTGCCCTAGGATTGCTGTAAGGCCTAAGGCCATAAAGTTCTGTTGTTGGATTGCTTGAATTCAAACTTGATGAATGCTGAATGATTGGATTATAAATTGCTTTTCATGCATGTGTAAATTTTGGGAAATAAGCAACTTATAAGGGAGACTGCTGAATTTTCAGCAGAAGTCAAACTCTAAAGAAAATTTGGATTTTGTTAGAAGGGCAATTTGGTCAAGTGTGTTTTATGCACCTGCCAGGTGTTGGACACGCATAGGATTCGGCTTTAGGCTATGACTTATTTATTTAAATTCAATAGGCCAATTAGTCATATTTTTATTTGTTTGAAACCAGTGTGCTTAAACATGGCAAGTTGCTAAGCCTACCTTTTTCTTTTGTTTACCCTTTTTATCTTTCTTTGAGGTAGAAGGCAACCATGTAAAACGCATCAAAGGAAACTTTGCAATCATGTGAAAGTCGTATGAACAGAATGGATAATGACACTAGGCATTTTGGGCAAAACGAACGGTAATCCATCTACCAGCTTACATACAAAATGAGAAAGGCAACGAAACTAAAAGGAAGAATATTCAAATTCACTACTTCAAGAATATATTCAGAAGCATGAAAAAAAAAAAATTAACAAAATAACAAATCCTGAACCGAAACCTCCCCCTATGTGGTTACGACTCAAGGGTAACTGCTGGATAGTCTTGGTAGCCAGTGATGCCTGTTATCCTTATCCGTGTATTTGGCTGGATACATGAAATGAGTTAAAACTAAATCAAAAGCATCAAAACAAGAAAAGGCAATTAAGAGGAAAAGTGATGTGTGTATTTGATCAAGGACATATATAAGATCTTAAGAAAAACACATACAAAAGTTTGTTTTCATCCCAAGGGATAAAGGTAGATGTGTCTCTTCGTTTTCAGAATTTTGTTTTTGAAAAAAAACATATAACAAACTATAAGCTATAGGTGTTTGCTCGATTATACAGGAACTTCTTGCTTGGAGCACTAGATGAAAAGTATACAGAAAACTAAAAGTACATATTGCTGCTTTTGCGTCCTAGCTACGATGATATATTAAAATAATTGAGCTTGGTTTGAGCAAATTACATGCGATGCACTCTGCAAGATTCAGCAGCTTGTACTACAAAGATACATACATATATATATATATATATATATATATATTTCAATTTCATACATAAATTTCCCCAAAAATCTTGTCAGTATGGTACCTGATTCACTCTAATACCTGAAAATCTTGTCACAACTCAAGAATGTGCTCACCACATGGGGTCAAAATCCTAATAGAATTAGTCACTAACGAAGATGATTGTCGCTTTTATAGTCCATATAGACCCAATTCATGGTGAGACTCGGCATGCAGTCACATAATCCATAACACATAGTGAACTACCATATTAAATTTTCTTTCTTTCTTATTTTCTGTTTTGCTTTGTGTTCATATCAGCCCTTAACATTATATAATACCACTCAAATCCCCTCTTCAAAAACAATTCTAAGACTTTTTCAAAGTTACCCTCAGTTTCGCTGTTCCCAAAAACATCTGCACAAATCAATAAACCCCTCTTGTATCCATCTCATATCCCTTGTGTATCCCTTCAGAGTATCCATGCCGTATCCAAAGGTTAAACTTGCCAAAATGTCAAGTAAATAGAAATTTGGAGCATTGAATACCTGCTTTATACATTTTGGTCAAGAGTCACATGAACTGGGGGCATGACTGATCAGGACATAGGACTCAAATTTAAACTAGGGTAAATAAAAGATGAGGGTAATAACCTGCTTTATACATTTTGGTCAAGAGTAACATGAACTGGGGGCATGACTGATCAGGACATAGGACTCAAATTTAAACTAGGGTAAATAAAAGATGAGGGTAATAAACTAAAATGAGAGGCAAAGTCTCATTGCAGTGTATGCAAAATGCATATACCTGTATGCTCTAACTTAGTTTCTATCATCCAATTAGGCCAAAAAACCATATAAAAATCAACATGAAACTTTGTTTCTTTCCTTGTTTCCATATATGAAATCAAGTCATCGCAACAAATTTAGTTGCACTCATGAATAAACTCTACTGTTCTGGTTAGCTCACAAAGAAATGAGATGAATGAAGGTAATACCTGTCGGTGACCAATGTTTCTCCTATAATTTTTCTTCTTTTTATACTTGAAGACAACTACTTTGTCATTTAGTCCCTGCATAATAATATGTCACAATAAGATGCAGAAAATATACGCAGACAAACATATAGAGACACATTATTTGTGAGGGTAAAAGCGATCGATTCATTATGATATATAGTGACTTACTTGTTCTTCAACTACAGCATGTACAGCAGCATTTGTCACCACTGGTTTTCCAATGTAGGTAGTTGTTTTTGTTCCCACAAGCAATACCTTGTTCAGAACAATCTGCATAAGATCAAGTTTAAACATCTTGAGAACAAAGCAATGATCAGTTTTTGGATAATAAAAGAGCCAATGCTGATAAAATCACTGGTTTTATAAATATAAAGAATTAAAGATTTTTTTGGGTCATGAAAGAACTAATGATTTTGAATCATTATTTAAAGGCTAGACAACAGACCACAGTATTCTCCAACTATTGATGGATTCTAGTAAAGCAATAGTACATTTCTATGGAGTTAAAAATATTCTTGCGCTGAAAGGGAGATAAGAGAAGAACCTCTACGCTTTGGTACATTTATAATTTTGAGATTTGAGGTGTTTCGGATTCAGAATAAGAAGTTGGTTAGTCATGACTCTAGTTTCTTTTACCCTTGTTTAGGTGAAGTACGTGCACTGTTTAGTTACTGAAAAGTCTTTCCCCTTCTAAGAGTTTAAAAAGAATCTCCATATTTTATTAGAAATTTGCAGATTCTGTTGCTCTATGCGTAGGACTTTCTGCATGTTTTATATTTTGTAAGGTGAGACATTGAGGTTCCTAGAAGACAATAGTGTGGTTACAGGTTTTCATATCTTGTTGATTATTATTCTTCTAATTACTCTTCTATTTTCTTTCGCATCTATGCAATTTTCAACCAATTGTTAATACCATTACAAACCCTAAAAAGGTTCTCAATGTTACATACCGAAATATATTCTAAAAATTCTAATTCCATCATGAAAGAGAAATTAAATTATGTCGCTAACTAGAATAACCTATATTCTAACTCCATCATGACATGCTGAAATATACTCCGAACTATTTCATATTCTCATTGACAAGGCATACCCAACAGTCTGTTTAATGAGTTTTTGTTAAATGGAACAACCAAAGTTATTTAAAGCATGTTACTGGAAATCACCAAAACTTAATGCAGCTTTATGAACCAAGATTGCACACTATTTCTTCAAGCATCCATAAGTTCATAGTTCAATTTCAAGGCAATGGAGGATAAACTACCAATTGAGTTGTAAAATTCTTCTTCCTTTTTATTTCTTCTTTTTTAGTTCAGGATAACAGAGGAGAAGACCACGTTAATTGTGTTATGGAAACGATAGTGTAACAAGACGAAAAGCATCTAGCACTAAGATCTTGAAGAAGTGCCAATACAGGTTAAAGTGAACAGTGTAGCTCTCCAAAGTGAAATGTAATTATTTTAGCTGATATTGCTCCTCCAAAAAAGTGCATCCACAAAAAGGCAAACCCATTGTTCAGAGTACTTCCTCATTCTCCCTCATCAAGTGTCAATATCTGACAGGAAACCAAGGGACTATATAATTATAATTGGCGATGGAATTACTTACCATAATATTTACCTCTATCATTGACTGCCTTGGTTATTTAAGGAGCATTCATCAAAGTAGATACTAATAGCAAAGGGCATTTACACCTAAACATTGAAAATTCTAGGTACAGTAGAAGAGCATACTGTTGATGCACTACTTTCACTACAAAAATTATTAGATGCTTCCCTTGAAGTATTGTGTACCCAAAAAAGAAAACTAGATTTTGATCCCAAGCTGTTAACAACCATAGGAAAACCCAAAAGAATTCCACATGAGGGCAAAGCTCATAAACTGAGGGCTGTGTTCCTGATTTTCCTTTCTACCAATAAAGGGTAACCACCTTAGTCAATAAGAACTTTGTTATCGGCATAGATCAAACGCCCATCACTTGTCTTGAAATGATTACTTGTGAAATAGGAAATAGAAGGCCAAAAGTTGTAAACAAGTTCCTTTCCCAGTTATAATTAATGCTTCTACAATATCTTGTAAAGGATTGACTCATTGCAGCATTTTCAATCAACAGTTTTCTGTAACTATGGTTCCAACAATTTATGATTTGATGCAACATTAGCTGAAAGTCACCTAATTTCACAGGTTCTCAACTGACGGGGTTAAAATTTGAGGCATGTCACTGGAAATGGAATGTTTCTCATGCCAACCCAAGAAGTAAAAGCGTATTAACTTCATCAAAATTACTGCACTTGTGTGTGATTCTTGAACTGGCAATGTATAAAAATCCAATTAAAGCAAAAAATTTCACGAAACTAAGTTAAAGCTAGATATAACTACAACAAGAATTGCCAAGATGGAACAAACATGACAAGAATTAAAGTAACAAATAACCAAAGAATGAGAAGAATATCATACCTTATCATTGACATTAGCGCCTTTCAGCCTCTGAGTATAGATATATCGTCCGGGTATAACAATGTATTGGCGCCCACCAATCTAAACAGACATCATACACAAGCAAACCCAGTCATAAGATTAGCAATTATGATCTAAATAGAGAACTAAAAATTCGAACTTTTGTTTTTAGAGAAAAGAAACTAAGCAAAAACGTAATTACAAACCATATGTCAGCTGGTTAATCAACTGAACAACAAAATTAATGACCAAAAACGCCATTTTCCAGCTTAAAACATCTGGGTAACCACAAATTCAGTAAATGAATTGAAATTGAATACTTACCATAACAACACCAAACAATTGCTCGCGTTTTGGGGATGAAGGGGTTTCAACCACCTGCAAAGCCGCAGGCTCCGTATCATCAGGTTTGGCCTCAGGCTCCGAGGCTTGAAACTCGGCCTCGACGACCACAGCAGATTCAGCTTCCGCGGACTTGGTTAGAAGAGGGAATGTGGGTCGTGAAGAGGAGGAAGACAACTTGTGCGAAGAAGAAGAAGAAGAGAGAGACAGAAAGCTGACATTGTTGGAGGGGGTTTGAAGGTTCTGTGAGATTTTGCAATGGGTTGCGAACAAAGAGCACAAGGAAAGAGTTGCAGAGGCTGCCATTGTCTTGATTTGAGAGGAAAGGCTCAAGGCTACAACAAGTGAGCTGTTCACTCACTCTGCCATGGACTTATCCTATCCGTTAGCAGAAACCAAATATGTATGTGGGGAAGGAAGTCTATTTCGGCCCAACAATTTGCTCTTCATACCCTAAATTTGCAAACTCTAAAATTCAATTTTACCCTTTGAAAAGAATTTAAAAGAATACCAACCAACATCCTTCCTTATCGCACAACAGGCCCCTTGCACGATGGAACCCGTGTGCATCATAGTTTAGCGACAAACTCACGTGTGTGCTTGTTGAATGGGCTCTAGCCCAGTATAGGCCCATTTAATTCCAAACCCAAACTTGGATTGCTAGTTTACCTAAAACTCAAAATTGGCCTCTTCTTATACATGGGTTGGGGATGTATTTGAGTTTTAACCCAAATAAAATAAAATATGGGAGATTCACTATTATACCCAATATAGGAGCCCAAATTATAAATTTAAAAAAAAAAACCCAATATGAAATGGACTTTAGAAACACACTCAAAGCTCATTTACAACATAACAAAAAGGCTTATAACTTCTTATAAATTACAAAACTGCCATCGATTTCTTAAAACAAACCCAACCCCAAAACCTTATAAAAAAAAACCCAAAAACACTCAATAGGGCATCAAAGTAATTTAATAATAAAATATAAATTCAATAGGACCAGCTGTCACTTTTTGGGTTTTTTTTTGGTTTGTTTATAAAAATTAAATGGTGTATAGTTATATGACTACATATCTAAAAAAAAAACAAAAAAAAGAAAAATTGAGTTTAGTTCCTCTACATTAGGCTTTCTCCAACCCGAAGGCTAAAACCACAATTAGGAATGTTTGGCCTGGATTCCCCTCAGACCCATGTACGGGAAGGGGCTAAATTTGGCTTTCAACTATAGTACCTATAGAAATCTAGGCTTCTTTTTCGAACTGGGACAAAAGGTTGGGCTCCATAGAACACCACATCTAGTAGGGGTGTGTAAGATCTAATCCAATCTATCCAAACTGACTGATTCAATCCAATTTTAATTTTTGATGATTTGGTGGATTAGATTGGATCCCTAATTTCCCAAACCGACATGATTGAATCGAATGACGAATTTGCTTATGAGGATCCAATCCAATCTAGTTAGTTTCATGCTTATTTTGTTCATTAGATAATTTTGATTAAGAAAGTTACAAATATTTTAAGTAATTTGATGGAATTATGTTTAATGTATTATAAAATCAAAATAATTTTCTCTAACATTTCATTTATATTTTACATTTACGTCTATTAATTTCTTTATTATATCAAACTTGACGATAAATATTTCATATTTCATTATCATATTTTTTTCATGATGAAAACCGATCATCCAATCCAATATCAATTGGATCAGATCAGAATGGATTTAAACCTCTAATATGATCGGATTGGATTGGAAAAATCATAATCCAATCTATATTGAATTGGATGTGGATTGGTGAAATTGTATTGGTTTCGAACCGATGTACACTTCTAACAGCCAATAGGGGAATTTTTTAATTATTTTTTTTCATGTTACTGGAACTGAAATGATCTCGTGTGGTCCAACCTAAATTTATGACTGTGTGCTTGAGCTGCATGCAGTTGGGATCAGCTAGTCATTGAAATCCAACGGCATCTGTTTTTTATTTTTATTTTTCCAATTCAAATCAATGGCATATATTGATTTTTAATTTTAACGGTTAAACGACCCAAATTTAAATTTAATGCTCAAAATGATAAAATAAAATATACTAAATTATATCCAACCGTAAATTTGATCGAAATTCTATAAATATTTATCCATTCTTCTTATTTAACTACCAA